TACAGCAACAGCGGCGACTGCCGCCCACCCAGTATTCTTTTATTTACTCTAATTCAAAGGTTTCTTGCATTTTTCAATATTTTTCTTTTCAGGTAACTTATGTGGCCTGTGAGACCAATGTAAGGTGCATTGTTCAAATATACCACTCATTATTTACAACACAATAACAGAACAACTTTATCACTATTAGTTTGTGTATACACTTTGTTTACACAAACAAACAATACAAAACAATGTTTATACTATTGTTCCATAATATATATACATATGTACAGTCACTAACCACGTTCCTAGAACTGCTGCAGCTTGTGGAACTCTTTGAAACATGGGTATATGCAGAGGGCACTTCACACTCCTCACACATAAAACGAGTGTCTCTGTGTGTTTGTGGGCGTTTTGTGGTATGCATACATACATAACACCTCTTCTGAGCATTTTTCTTGGCAGTAGTAGGAGCAGTTGTATGGGGGTAGTGATCACCAGGCCTCAAACGAGATGACGTCTGTGGGCGCTGGTCTATTGCAGGAGTTGCTCCTTTGTACTTTGCAATTATTTGTCTGATTACTGACAGGCAAAATTCACCATATTTTGGTGTTTTGTTGGTCTTCAACTTGTTATTGTTATAAGCATTTAGCATAGAGAATTTCAACAAGATGGAAAAAAAGTTTGATATACCACTTATAACTCTTGCGTACACAGTCTGCAAACCCAATCTGCATGTCACATTTGTCCACTAAGCGCATATTGAGGTTGTAGTCCATGACAGCTGCAGGCTTTAGAATGGGTCATTGGTCTCTCTGTTGTCCCTGCCACTGGGTACCATTTCGTTTGTGTGAACTGATGTCAACAATGTGACATCACGTTTGTCATGCCACCGAAATGCCATGATGTCATTGGCAGCAAAGGCTTGCACCTCACCTCTGCGAGTGCCAGCGTCGAACCTTGGCATATGTTTGCGATTACCACGCACTGTGCCACACACGTCTGTCAAGTTCACTCGCAAGAAATCACTGAGTAAGGGGCTTGTGTACCAGTTATCAGTAAATAACATATGCCCCTTACCAAGATATGGTTCCATCATTGTTCGAACCACATCACCAGAGATACCCAATAACTTCATGGTATCTCTCAAAGTATTACTGCCAGTGTACACAATAATATCTAAAACAAGACCACTTCTGCAATCACACAGTACAAATAGCTTTATACCAAGCGTTTCCTCTTGCTTGGTATATATTGCTTGAATGAGAGTCTTCCTTTGAATAAAATCAAGGACTCATCAATAACAAGCTTCCTGAAGGGATAAAAATACATGCAGCACTTTTGTTTCAGGTACATAAACACATTTCTTATCTTATATAACCTGTCGCTTCTGTCAGGCCTGGTTTTGTCTGAAAGTGTAACATACGCAACAGTATCAGGAAACGATTGACACCTATAATGTCACTAAAACCTGGAGTTGAAATTCAGGCGATCTGTTGTCCAGTATGTGGTGACAGTGTGCTTATACACATGTGGCATAAGCATTATTGTGGCAAAAAACAGGTACATCTCTGCCACAGTTGTCTCCTTCCACTTGTGTAGCAGTGATTTTGGTGAGAGAATTGTATTTGCCATGGTGTATTCACAGTATGTGTTGGTTTCCCTGACAATGATGTCCATCAGGGGTTCATCGAAGAATAACTCAAAGCAGTCCAGTTCACTGGCATTGTTCCCAAGTGGACAAGATGGCTTTATTCCACTTTGTGTTTCATCAAAGTCATGGGGACTGGGAACAAACTCGTCACCGTCCTGCCAATCCCAGATGGGTCTGCTGGTGGGGTCTGGATATTGTACCGTGGTTGTGGCTGTGGTTGTGGCTGTGCAGGTTGTGGTGGTGCAGGTTGTGGCAGTGTGGGGTAGGGTGAGGCTGGTTGTTCTGCTGAGTCAGCCGCGTGGCTAGTAGCGTGGCCCGGTGATGGGTGCCACATGGGCCGTGCCACCCTCACTATCACCACCACTGCCTCCTCCCTCACTGTCACCATTCATACCCATCGTTACAATATCGTCATCTTCACTATCAGGTCGTGGTGTTGGGCCACGGGATGTGCTCCCAGAGTTTCTCCTTCCCCTTGGAACAACATATGAAACACTACCAGACCGCATGCTACGTCGTACATACTGGCGCTTCACTGGGGAATATTCACTCTCACTGTCACTATAACTGCTTTCAATGACTTTGAAATCACTATCACTATCACTATCACTGCTATCATCAGGGTGTTGTACACGACCCAAATAGTTTCCTCTTTCGTCCTGGTACAGGCGAACGTGAACGTGAACAAGCCGGCACAGCACCAGAGGTCGAAGGTTGTGGGTCATCTGGGTTTTCGTCACTATTTACGTTATCCTGGGCACTTTTTTCGGTAACACTCACTTGAAAACCCTTGAATTCACTGTCACTGACACTTTCATCGCTGTTAGAGCTATCACTTGGGAACAAAAGACCTCCAATCCGCCGAGGAGTGAGGAACTTCTTACCGAGAGGCATGGTGAAAATGGACTGACAACATGGCGTTCCCACAATGCACCGCTAGGTCCCAGATTTTTTTCACAGGGTGCACACCGACCACTGAGACCCATTCTCTCCCGTGTAGGCCTATCAGGCCTTTGGCGCTCGATTTGAAGCCGCTAGAATTTGTGCGTATAAATACATCAGAAACATTGGCTCGTAAGACGTATTTATACGTCGGAAACAGTCAAAGGGTTAACCTCTCTCTTTTTCTCCATATACTCTTCCTTCCTTGCATCACTTCTACTTTGTAAAAACTTCTCATATGCTAACTTTTTCTCCCTTACTACTCTCTTCACATCATCATTCCACCAATCGCTTCTCTTCCCTCCCGCACCCACTTTCCTGTAACCACAAACTTCTGCTGAACACTCTAACACTACATTTTTAAACCTACCCCATACCTCTTCGACCCCATTGCCTATGCTCTCATTAGCCCATCTATCATCCAATAGCTGTTTATATCTTACCCTAACTGCCTCCTTTTTAGTTTTATAAACCTTCACCTCTCTCTTCCCTGATGCTTCTATTCTCCTTGTATCCCATCTACCTTTTACTCTCAGTGTAGCTACAACTAGAAAGTGATCTGATATATCTGTGGCCCTCTATAACATGTACATCCTGAAGTCTACTCAACAGTCTTTTATCTACCATACATAATCCAACAAACTACTGTCATTTTGCCCTACATCATATCTTGTATACTTATTTATCCTCTTTTTCTTAAAATATGTATTACCTATAACTAAACCCTTTCTATACAAAGTTCAATCAAAGGGCTCCCATTATCATTTACACCTGGCACCCAAACTTACCTACCACACCCTCTCTAAAAGTTTCTCCTACTTTAGCATTCAGGTCCCTACCACAATTACTCTCTCACTTGGTTCAAAGGCTCCTATACATTCACTTAACATCTCCCAAATCTCTCTCTCCTCCTCTGCATTCCTCTCTTCTCCGGGTGCATACACGCTTATTATGACCCACTTCTCGCATCCAACCTTTACTTTAATCCCAATAATTCTTAAATTTACACATTCATATTCTCTTTTCTCCTTCCATAACTGATCCTTCAACATTACTGCTACCCCTTCCTTTGCTCTAACTCTCTCAGATACTCCAGATTTAATCCCATTTATTTCCCCCCACCGAAACTCCCCTACCCCCTTTCGCTTAGGGCCAGGACATCCAACTTCTTTTCATTCATAACATCAGCAATCATCTGTTTCTTGTCATCCGCACTACATCCACGCACATTTAAGCATCCCAGTTTTAAAAGTTTTTCTTTTTTTTTTTTTAGTAAATGTCTACAGGAGAAGGGGTTACTAGCCCATTGCTCCCGGCATTTTAGTCGCCTCATACGACACGCATGGCTTACGGAGGAAAGATTCTTTTCCACTTCCCCATGGACAATAGAAGAAATAAAGAGGAACAAGAGCTATTTAGAAAAAGGAGAAAAACCTAGATGTATGTATATATATATGCATGTGCGTGTCTGTGAAGTGTGACCAAAGTGTAAGTAGGAGTAGCAAGATAACCCTGTTATCTAGCGTGTTTATGAGACAGAAAAAGAAACCAGCAATCCTACCATCATACAAAACAGTTACAGGTTTCTGTTTCACAGTCATTTGGCAGGACGGTAGTACTTCCCTGGGTGGTTGCTGTCTACCAACCTACTACCTACATTGACTAGTATGTAACTAGTTAATGGTCTAAGGCGGACCAAAACGTCATCACGAGCTTCTTTCTCCTATGTGTGGGTTACCTGTGTATTGTTCCAGTTACAGTATTGTGCCTTTTTGTTCTTTAATTTACACACTCTTAGTCATCCTCTCCAAATTCCCAAACCACCTCAACAAACCCTCCTTTGCCATCTTCTAATTTCTATGCTCTAAATTCTCTATAATATTCCAACAACACATTCCTCTCAAACATGACATCTTGACTGCCTCCAGCCTCCTCCTTGTTACAACATTTAAAGTCCATTCCTTACACCCATCCGAAAGTGTCGGTACTATTATATTTTGGAACATTTTCCCTTTCACTTCCACAGATAAACTTTCTAGGCAAGGGTGCTGTTGGAGTGTAAGCAAGTTAATATTCATAAAGACATTCAGAGAAACTGGTTAATTGGACCCGAGTCCTAGAGGTAAGAAATACAGTGCCTACATTCTATAGGAGTGAGAATGTAATTTGGGGAGGGGGCACAACTAAACTGTGATGTCAGCATGCTTCTGACAAGACAGCAATTGAATGAGTGATAGTGAATGTATTTCCTTTTTTAGGGGAAGGGAAAGGTGACCCTACTTCAGTGAGTGATAGCAAGTATTCTAAAAAAACAAAAAAGCAGTGTATCAAGGCAATCCACAAAAATCACATTTTGGTTACAAATACGTACTATACAAACTTAAATCTGCCTTATGTGAAGAGCAATCGAGTGCAAACTTACAAGTATTTTTAGCACATCACCAGGAGTTTTGCCAACAACATTTAAATTGTTGACTTCCTGCACCTCGTCTCCAACGTGTATCAGACCAGAGCGATCTGCAGCACCACCATGCATTATACGAGCAATTACTATGGCCCCTGTCCGGTCATCCTGCTTGATGGTAGCTCCCTGCGTACATTACATATGAAATAAGTTGAAATTATAATATGTATTGGCAAACAGTATTTAAATGAATTTAAACACTTACAAAAATTAGCTTAAAAGAACTACAGCCTCTCTTCACTTAGCAACGTACTCATTTACCGACAACTCGGATTTGCGACGGGTTCTCTGACCAGTATGCATACCTAAATAATGTATATTAGAGCTGATTTCCTCTATTTTGTTTATTACAATATACAGTACACTACTGTACAAACATTTAAAAATGTACCAGAAATGTATATTTTTAAATGGCTGACACTACCTTTACAGTATGCTCCTCACTTAGCGATGAATTCGTTTACCGAAGAGGTCTCAGGAATGGAACTCCATCGTTAATTGAAGAGAGGCTGTATAAAATTTGTAATCTAGATGTGCTATTTATGGCAACATTAATTTATTGGTGTATTATTAACATAGTACATGCAACAAAAATATTATATTCATGTGGAAGCAATGAACTGTGGAAAAAGACACTCATGAACAGTTCAAAACGCTAGGAAAAACATTTTGCCACATGTAGTTTCTTTAGTCCTAACACAGAGATAACTAAGATAACTAAGGTTCTTAGTTATCTCTGTATTAGGACTGAAGAAGCCACACCTGATGAAATGTTTCCTTTAATAAATGTCCGGAATTGTACATAAGTGTCTTTTTCCACATCTTGTCAGTATCACCATACCATTTCAAGCACTAAACTGTAGGGAGGCAACTAGGTTTGACCCAAGAAAGGGAAGGGTAGCTCCAATTCCTTGGATCAGGAACACATCACCAGCAGCAAGGCACCCTCCCCCCATAAAGGGGGTAACAAAAGTAATGCTTGCAATTACTCACCACAATTGGTTCAGCTCCTTTTCCTTCCTGGGATAGCATTAAATGAATGGTCAAACATATAAAGTGAGAGCAATTACTCACACATCTCTCGGTCCCTCTTAATTCAAATCCATCAATAATAATTACTTATCTCCAAAATAAACTCATTTGCCTCTTCTTTTTTTGAAATAGCAATGATCTCCCATTACCACTTGGTTAGAGTGAATCTATGCACAAAAACTAAAATGATTTTATTAACCATCAATTCTTTAAAAACTATGCTCTGCATACCGTATTTTCTGGCATATAAGGCACACCTTTTTTTGTTCCCACAAAATGTTTTCGTAAAATCATCCTGCTCCTTATATGCTTAAGGTCAGGGTCAAAGGTTACACTTTAGTTTAAAGTAAAAGGGTAACTAACCCTTGAATGTGATTACTGATTTACCATTATGATACTTGTTACTTTTTTTTTTTATTACATGTATTATTATCTAGGTAGTAGGTTGGTAGACAGCAACCGCCCAGGGAGGTACTACCGTCCTGCCAAGTGAGTGTAAACTGAAGCCTGTAATTGTTTTACACGATGGTAAGATTGCTGGTGTCTTTTTTTATCTGTCTCATACACATGCAAGATTTCAGGTATGTCTTGCTACTTCTACTTACACTTAGGTCACACTACACATACATGTACAAGCATATATATACACACCCCTTTGGGTTTTCTTCTATTTTCTTTCTAGTTCTTGTTCTTGTTTATTTCCTCTTACCTCCATGGGGAAGTGGAACAGAATTCTTCCTCCGTAAGCCATGCGTGTTGTAAGAGGCGACTAAAATGCCGGGAGAGCAAGGAGCTAGTAACTCTTCTCCTGTATATATTACTAAATGTAAAAGGATAAACTTTCGTTTTTCCTTTTGGGCCACCCCGCCTCGGTGGGATACGGCCGGTGTGTTGAAAGAAAGAAAGAATGTATTATTAATACACTGGCCGATTCCCACCAAGGCAGGGTGGCCCAAAAAAGAAAAAACTTTCACCATCATTCACTCCATCACTGTCTTGCCAGAAGGGTGCTTTACACTACAGTTTTTAAACTGCAACATTAACACCCCTCCTTCAGAGTGCAGGCACTGTACTTCCCATCTCCAGGACTCAAGTCCGGCCTGCCGGTTTCCCTGAATCCCTTCATAAATGTTAATTTTCTCACACTCCAACAGCACGTCAAGTATTAAAAACCATTTGTCTCCATTCACTATCAACACGCTCACGCATGCTGCTGGAAGTCCAAGCCCTCGCACACAAAACCTCCTTTACCCCCTCCCTCCAACTTTCCTAGGCCGACCCCTACCCACCTTCCTTCCACTACACACTGATACACTCTTGAAGTCATTCTGTTTCGCTCCATTCTCTCTACATGTCCGAACCACCTCAACAGCCCTTCCTCAGCCCTCTGGACAACAGTTTTGGTAATCCCGCACCTCCTCCTAACTTCCAAACTACGATTCTCTGCATTATATTCACACCACACATTGCCCTCAGACATGACATCTCCACTGCCTCCAGCCTTCTCCTCGCTGCAACATTCATCACCCATGCTTCACACCATATAAGAGCATTGGTAAAAACTATACTCTCATACATTCCCCTCTTTGCCTCCAAGGACAAAGTTCTTCGTCTCCACAGACCCTAAGTGCACCGCTCACACCTTTTCCTCATCAATTCTACGATTCACTCATCTTTCATAGATCCATCCGCTGACACGTCCACTCCAAATATCTGAATACATTCACCTCCTCCATAATCTCTCCCTCCAATCTGATATCCAATCTTCATCACCTAATCTTTTTGTTATCCTCATAACCATACTCTTTCCTGTATTCACTTTTAATTTTCTTCTTTTGCATACCCTACCAAATTCATCCACCAACCTCTGCAACTTCTCTTCAGAATCTCCCAAGAGCACAGTGTCATCAGCAAAGAGCAACTGTGACAAACTCCCGCTTTATGTGTGATTCTTTATCTTTTAAATCCAAGCCTCTTGCCAAGACCCTCGCATTTACAACCCCATCTATAAATATATTAAACAACCACGGTAACATCACACATCCTTGTCTAAGGCCTACTTTTAATGGGAAATAATCTCCCTCTTTCCTACCTACTCTAACTTGAGCCTCCACTATCCTCGTAAAAACTCTTCACTGCTTTCAGTAACCTACCTCCTACACCATACACTTGCAACGTCTGCCACATTGCCCCCCTATCCACCCTGTCATACGCCTTTTCCAAATCCATAAATGCCACAAAAACCTCTTTAGCCTTATCTAAGTACTGTTCACTTATATGTTTCACTGTAAAAACCTGGTCCACACACCCCTACCTTTCCTAAAGCCTCCTTGTTCATCTGCTTATCCTATTCTCCGCCTTACTTTAATTCTTTCAATAATAACTCTACCATACACTTTACCAGGTATACTCAACAGACTTATCCCCCTATAATTTTTGCACTCTCTTTTGTCCCCTTTGCCTTTATACAAAGAAACTATGCATGCTCTCTGCCAATCCCTAGGTACCTTACCCTCTTCCATACATTTATTAAATAATTGCACCAACCACTCCAAAACTATATCCCACCTGCTTTTAACATTTCTATCTTTATCCCATCAATCCTGGCTGCCTTACCCCCTTTCATTTACCTATTGCCTCATGAACTTACCCCACACTCAAAACTGGCTCTTCCTCACTCCTACAAGATGTTATTCCTCCTTGCCCTATACACGAAATCACAGTTTTCCCTATCTTCATCAACATTTAACAATTCCTCAAAATATTCCCTCCATCTTCCCAATACCTCTAACTCTCCATTTAATAACTCTCCTCTCCTATTTTTAACTGACAAATCCACTTGTTCTCTAGGCTTCCTTAACTTGTTAATCTCACTCCAAAACTTTTTCTTATTTTCAACAAAATTTGTTGATAACATCTCATCCACTCTCTTATTTGCTCTCTTTTTACATTGCGTCACCACTCTCTTTTTCTCCATATACTCTTCCCTCCTTGCATCACTTCGACTTTGTAAAAACTTCTCATATGCTAACTTTTTCTCCCTTACTACTCTCTTTACATCATCATTCCACCAATCGCTCCTCTTCCCTCCCACACCACTTTCCTGTAGCCACAAACTTCTGCTGAACACTAACACTACATTTTTAAACCTACCCATACCTCTTCGACCCCACTGCCTATGCTCTCATTAGCCCATCTATCCTCCAATAGCCGTTTATATCTTACCCTAACTGCCTCCTCTTTTAGTTTATAAACCTTCACCTCTCTCTTCCCTGATGCCTCTATTCTCCTTGTATCCCATCTACCTTTTACTCTCAGTGTAGCTACAACTAAAAAGTGATCTGATATATCTGTGGCCCCTCTATAAACATGTACATCCCGAAGTCTACTCAACAGTCTTTTATCTACCAATACATAATCCAACAAATACAGTGGACCCCGCATAACGATCACCTCCGAATGCGACCAATTATGTAAGTGTATTTATGTAAGTGTGTTTGTACGTGTATGCTTGGGGGTCTGACATGGATAATCTACTTCACAATATTCCTTACGGGAACAAATTCGGTCAGTACTGGCACCTGAACATACTTCTGGAGTGAAAAATATCGTTAACCGGGGGTCCACTGTACTGTCATTTCGCCTACATCATATCTTGTATACCTATTTATCCTCTTTTTCTTAAAATATGTATTACTATAACTAAACCCCTTTCTATACAAAGTTCAATCAAAGGGCTCCCATTATCATTTACACCTGGCACCCCAAACTTACCTACCACACCCTCTCTAAAAGTTTCTCCTACTTTAGCATTCAGGTCCCCTACACAATTACTCTCTCACTTGGTTCAAAGGTTCCTATACATTCACTTAACATCTCCCAAAATCTCTCTCTCTCCTCTACATTCCTCTCTTCTCCAGGTGCATACACGCTTATTATGACCCACTTTTCGCATCCAACCTTTACATTAATCCACATAATTCTTGAATTTACACATTCATATTCTCTTTTCTCCTTCCATAACTGATCCTTCAACATTACTGCTACCCTTCCTTAGCTTTAACTCTCTCAGATCCTCCAGATTTAATCCCATTTATTTCCCCCACCGAAAACTCCCCTACCCCCTTCAGCTTTGTTTCGCTTAGGGCAATGACATCCAACTTCTTTTCGTTCATAACATCAGCAATCTGTTTCTTGTCATCCGCACTACATCCACGCACATTCAAGCATCCCAGTTTTACAAAGTTTTTCTTCTTCTCTTTTTTAGTAAACGTCTACAGGAGAAGGGGTTACTAGCACATAGCTCCCGGCATTTTAGTCGCCTCATACGACACGCATGGCTTACGGAGGAAAGATTCTTTTCCACTTCCCCATGGACAATAGAAGAAATAAAGAAGAACAAGAGCTATTTAGAAAAAAGAGAAAAACCTTAATGTATGTACAGTGGTTCCTCGTTTTTCGTAATTAATCCGTTTTCCCGGAGCTGCTACTATAAACGAAATTTACGATTTGCGAATCAATTTTCCCCATAAGAAATAATGTAAATACAATTAATCCGTTCCTGACACCCAGAAGTATTAAAACAAAAAAAAATTTTACATGAAATATAATGTAGTACATAAACAATACAATTGGAGATTCTTCTTAGTGTATGGGAGATGGAGGAGGAGAGAGGGTGGATTGTTTATAGTTTGGAAGGGGAATCCCCCTTTCCCGCAACACCTCAGGTACCAATTGCTTTTCTGGGGTTACTTCTCTTCTCTGTTTCTTAATGCCACTAGGACCACCTTGAGAGTCACTGGAGTTCCCGTCTCACAAAATAACTGTGGAGAGAGCTCTGTTTCTGGCATCTCTTTAACACTTCCCTAAAATGGCCAAGACTTTGTCACTGTACATGTTGCCAATATGGCTTTTCAACAACCTTGTTAGGGTGATGTTTCTCCATAAAGCTTTCCATCTTACCCCACATAGTAAAAATCTCTTTAATTTCTGAAGAAGGCACCTTCTTCCATCTCTCTTCCTCCTCCTCTGCAGTAAGATTCTGAGCTGCGATGTGTTGCTCTTCCTGCTGAAGCTCTTGCAGCTCCTCAGTGGTGAGCTCTTCGTTGTGGTCTTCCACCAATTCTTCCACATCCTCCAAACTCACATCCAACCCCATGGAACTCCCCAGTGCCACACTTGATTTTACATCAGACATAGGCTCATCAGGGTCAGTCCCAAACCCTTCAAAATCCCTCTTGTCGACACAATCTGGCCACAATTTTCTCCAGGCAGATTTCAAAGTCCTGGTAGTCACTCCCTCCCAAGCCATACCTATAAGGTTATGCAATGGAGGATGCTGAAGTGTTCTCTCCAAAATTCCCTTAGGGTCAAGTGAGTGTCTGTGGTCACAGTCAAGCACCTGTGAAACATTGCTTTGGTGTAGAGTTTTTTAAAGTTTGCAATGACCTGCTGGTCCATGGGCTGGAGGAGAGGAGTGGTATTCGGGGGCAAGAACTTTACTGTGATGAACCTAAACTCCTCGAAAATTAGGTCATCCAAGTTTGGAGGATGAGCAGGTGCATTGTCCATTACTACACGCACTTGAGATCCAATTTCTTTTCCAGGAGATACTCCTTCACACTAGGGCCAAACTCCTCATTGAACCACTCGACGAAAATTTCCCTCGTGACCCATGCCTTACTTTTATATTTCCAAAACACACACAATTTACTCTTCATAACATTGTTTTTCCTGAACACTCTGGGATTTTCAGAATGGGACACTAGTAATGGCTTCACTTTGAAACCCCCACTAGCATTAGCACAGAAATCAGCATCAGCCTGTCTTTCATAGGCTTGTGTCCTGGCATTGCCTTTCCTCTTGTGTAATGAAGGTCCTCTTTGGCTTTTTTCTTCCAAAGAGGACTGTTTTGTCACATTGAACATTTGTTCAGGTTTCAGTCTTCAGCCTCTATGTACTCTGGAATTCATGCACATATTTTTCAGCCGCCTTGGGGTTTCCCAACTGGCAGCCTCACCATCCCTTACCACACTGTGTATGCCAGTACGGTTCTTAAATTCTCTCAAACCAGCCTTTGCTGGCCTTAAATTCACTAAACCTCACCACTATTTGCAGGCAATTTCTTTACCAAATCTTCAGGGCAACTCCTAGCCTTTTCACAAATAATCAAAGTCATAAGAGTATCTCCTGCTAATTGTTTCTCATTTATCCCCACCAATAATAACTTCTTAACCTCTTCGAGTAACTGGTGATCTCATTTTTGTCAGCATAGTTACCCCCTTTTGCAACAACAGCATCCTTGATTTCCTTTTTCTTGGCCACTATGGAACATAAGGTTGTGTAGGGTTTCTTTTTACATCCTGGCCAGTTGGGCCCACACTTGTCCCACTTTCATATTGTTCAATGATGGTTTTCTTAAATTCAATCGTATTTCTCACCTTCTTTACCACAGGCTTGGCACTAGGAGCTTTCTTTGGAGCCATGGTAACTTATTTAGTACTTGCAAGCACTAAAATATATAGAATAATATGAAATATTTCGCTGGAGCCCCTGAGGGGACCTTCGCTCACTGGTAAACAATGCCAGACTGGCTGCTGCCACGGCTCACGCTGTGGGTACGCGTCTGGGCCCGAATCACGACTCGCGAGTCAACTTATGAAAAGCGAGTCCATGTTTACGAAAATAACCCTATGATTGGCGAAATTTACGATTGCCGGGAACTACGAAAAGCGAGGGACCACTGTATACATATATGCATGTGCGTGTCTGTGAAGTGTGACCAAAGTGTAAGTAGGAGTAGCAAGATATCCCTGTTATCTAGCGTGTTTAAGAGACAGAAAAAGAAACCAGCAATCCTACCATCATGCAAACAGTTACAGGTTTCTGTTTTACGTAAATCTGGCAGGACGGTAGTACTTCCCTGGGTGGTTGCTGTCTACCAACCTACGACAACTTTTGCTGTGACCTTATATGCCAGAAAATATGGTATTTATTGGCATCCTGTGTCCATTTCCCTGGATTACAAAACTGTAGTTACCAGAGTAGAGCTATGCTCGCAGAGTCCATCTGTCTCCTCGGGGATTCCCCATCTATCTCTCTCTGTAGTTGAGTGAAGTGTCTTGAAGTGTCCCATCTGTCTCTGGATTACCAATCTGTTAGTTACCAGGTAAAAGCTATGCTTGTAGTGCCCTATCTCTCTCTCTGGATTACCAATCTGAGTTACCAGAGTTGAGCTATGCTTGTAGTGTCCCACTATGACTCTCTGGATTAAACCCAAAAATGTAGTTACCCGAGTAGAGCTATGCTTGTAGTGTCCCATCTGTGACCTCTGGATTACCAAACTGTAGTTACCAGAGTAGAGCTATGCTTGTAGTGTCTCATCTATGACTCTCTGGATTACCAAACAGTAGTTATAAATAGAGCTATGCTGGTGGTGTCCCATCAGCTGTGTTTATTGTTAATTTTTAAAAATTTTCAGTAATGGCATAAACAAACTCCTTTTGGATCTCATGACAGCAATCTCTTTTTATCTTTAATAACTACTTTTTAGCATATAAATTTGGCATCTAAAGTTTTGGGAGGTAATGTGAATGTGCTATGATTTTGTTTACCGAGTATATGTACAATTTGCCCACTTCCCCACAATTTAAGTATTACATGCTAGCCTGGTTCCCCCCAAAACAGACATAAAGAAAACATATATTGGGGCCCCGCTCAAAAGTTAGAAGGGAAAATATAAACATTTCTCAACATTAGTTTAAGTGATTAATTTAATAATAATACAGTGGTACCCTGAGTCCGTACAGCTCCCAACTCGAACCCAAATTTATGTAAGGGTATTATTGTAAGTTTCTTTGTAAGTGTATTTTTGGGGGTCTGAAATGACTAATCTAATTTACAATATTTCCCGATGGGGACAATTTCATTCGGTAACGGCACTCGAACGCCTTCTGGAACGAAATTATGGCCGAAACTCAGGGTACCACTGTAATAATATTTTATTTACTACAAGTACATGTATATGGTATACAGGCCTAGTTGATATCAATGACATAATACTATACAGAAAGCCACTTGTTATGCTGAGCCTTTCGGGCAAATTAGGTCTGTTTTGTCCCGGGATGCGACCACACCAGCCAACTAACACCCAGGTACCCATTTTAAACTGATGGGTGAACAGGGACAGGGACAGCAGGTGTCTTATGGAAACATGTCCCTAATGTTTTCCAGCCGTACCGGAGGAGATACGAACCCTGGACCTCAGTGTGTGAGCCGAGTGCGCTAGCGATTGAGCTACAGGACACCTTGAGATATCCACAAATAACTTACAATTTGGGCAGAAAACTTTATAAAGTGGTCCCTACTTAACAACCATTTGCATAATATAATGCTGAAATGACCAAAAAATTTAGGGCTGTTTCCTGCTTAATGACCTTGTTTTTTTGCTCATATAATGACAAATTCCCAGTGAGGGACCCTCCTCCTGATTAATAACAGCTTGCTCATACAACCGGCCTGAACTGTACAATGTTGCAGTCCAGCCTAAACTGCAAAATGCTGCAGTCCAGCCTGGACTGTACAATGCTACAGTCCAGCTGGACTGTACAAATGCTGCAGTCTAGCCTGGACTGTACAATGCTGCAGTCCAGCCTGGATTGTACAATGCTGCAGTCCAGCCTGAACTATACAATGCTGCAGTCCAGCCTGAACTATACAATGCTGCAGTCCAGCCTGGACTGTACAATGCTGCAGTCTAGCCTGGACTGTACAATGCTGCAGTCCAGCCTGGACTGTAGAATGCTGAAGTCCAGCCTGGATTGTAGAATGCTGCAGTCCAGCCTGGATTGTACAATTCTGCAGTCCAGCCTGAACTATACAATGCTGTAGTCCAGCCTGGACTGTACAATGCTGCAGTCTAGCCTGGACTGTACAATGCTGCAGTCCAGCCTGGACTGTACAATGCTGCAGTCAAGCCTGGACTGTAAATGCTGCATTCCACCCTGAACTGTACAATGTTGCAGTTCACCCTGAACTGTACAATGTTGCAGTTCACCCTGAACTGTACAATGTTGCAGTTCACCCTGTACTTGATAATGGTCTAGAATGGACTGGAACATCCTAAAGTTTCTTTGCAAACTTTAGACTTTTATGAACTGCTTCAGCTAGTTTTGTGACATATTTCTATAGAGAGAGATTAATAAACATTTACATACCATAGGCTCATTGCTCTTCACCAATTGTACAATCTTGACAGTCTCTTCATCTTCATCGACCTCCACAGGAATTTCAGGCAAATGTGGTACAAAATCCTTGGCAGCAATACTGTCGTGAGCTTGAAGAATACCCTGCAACACAAAAAATTATTCAATACTAAAACTACTTGACTGTTTGGTTTTCACTCAGTGTAAGAACTAAGGGGTAAAGAGCGGATTTTTGATGAAGATCATAAGAAAGGAACATTGCTGCAGGACTACTGGCCATGCAAGGCATGTCCAAATTACACCTACTTAAGAAGGAGCACTGCTACAGACCTACTGGTCCATACTAGGAAAGTCCAAGTCACACCTACTTAAGAAAAAAGCCCTCTGCAGGCTTACTGGCCCATGCTAGGCAGGCCCAAGTCACACCTACTTAAGGAGCACTAATGCAGGCTACTGCCCCAAAAGATAAGTAGGTCCAAGAAAAATCTTAATGTGGATACTATACCCATCACCTGATTCATCTCTCTCCTAGTAAGATAAAACCCCCCAAGGAAAACAATGAAAGTTTCTATAAAAAACTAACCTTATCCTGCTGAATTTACATAAAATAATTCCCAAAAATACCGAAGAACCTAGACTTTACCAAAAATTTGGAGAGGAAACCAGTGCATTACGGGTCCATCTCAGACCATTATCAAGTCACAAATGTTATGGGAAAACAGAATAAATTCAGAAGACAGGTCAGATGAAGCAGGGAGGAGAAAGTGGGGAGAGGTTGGGAAGTACAGTGCCTGCACTCTAGAAAAAAAGGATGGGGATGTTACAGTTCAGAGGTTCTTTTTAAAGTGTGATGTTTGTGCACTTCTAGCAAGACACACATTTATTTCTATTGCGTAAACATGTACAACATTTCAAAAAATATATCCTAAGGCTCATTTTTCATTGAAAATCTTAGCAATCAAAGTAGAAATGAAGCATGTTACCTGTAAATGAGGTGACTGTAAAGGGGGCAAAAAGTTCGATAGCATCAGTGTAGGGAAAGGTGCGATAGTGAATGTCCCTCATGATGGAGATGGCTATGTCTTCTGCGTTAGGGCATGAGCGGCTGACATGTCTTCTTTGTGTGGTTGATCTGTAGGAAAACAAACCCCGCAATTATTTATCAAATAGACACAGATAAAAGTGTAAAATATCCCCAGACTTAAAATTAGATAGTTTAACCCTTTGACTGTCGCAAGCCCCCTTTTTGAAACTGTCATTTTATGTCGCAAAATTTTTGGAAAAAAAAAAAATTTTTTCTGATGAAATGATAGAGAATCTTTTCCGATGGTAATGACACCGAAAGTATGAAATTTTGGTCAAAAACTCACGGAATTATGCTCCCGCAAAGTTAGCAGTCTCGGCAACATATACGCAACGGCGATTTCGCCGACTCTGAGCCCTGTTTTTGGCCAATTCCTTTGTTCCAGTTGACCAAACTCATAGCTATTTCTTTAGAACTCCATTTTTTCTATCAGTTAGGTACAAGAAACTGCCATTTACCAATTTGAACTACCCAATAAAGTGGTCAGAAATTGGAAATTTGGCCAATTTCATGCAAATTAAAAAAGATGCCAATTTCAAAATAAGGTCCAGAATAAACAATGTAAACATTCTTGGCACTAAAATAACATATCCTCTGTTCAACAGTCGTTTCTAGGACCCTCTTATATTACTATTGCTTTCTATTTTGATTTTTTATTCATACAAAAAATACAAAATTTACTGTTATGCAGACTACTGCATTATTGTAAAAATGGTATAAAATATATCAATGCACTAGTGAAAGAATATTAGACTCCCCCAGTTGACATGTATTGGATGTGCAGTGTGATTTGCTTACTCCTGAGCATTGATAAAAATTCAACTTTTCTGCTACTTTGAGCTCAATTTCAAGGTCGTTTTCATCACGAAACTAATCAAAATCATCTCTATTTCTGTAATATGTTTTCCATTTTATCACATGAGACCATGAAAATGAGAATATAACGATAAATACTATACGAAAATACACCTCAAAGTCGGCGTTTTAATTAAAAAAAAACGGTCAGTTTTTTTCTCATTATGCACTGCGTGCTGCAGAATTTTTTTATGTGCTGCACACTGACCACACAGACTCATTCTCTCACATGTGGGCCTACCCGCTTTCTCCTGCTTGATTTGAAGCCCCTAGAATTTATGCATATTAATACGTCCGAAACACTGGCTCGTAAAGACGTATGTATACAACCAAAACAGTCATAGGCTTAACTTACTAGTTGGAAGTAGAGTACAGGTCAGTCGGTCTCTCTCAGTCTCTCCCCATGTGGATTGTGGAATTTGCCTTATGTGAATACACTGTTATGAGATGTCTTATTTCTTGTGTGTAAAGGTAGAAAGTTGAAAGTGAACATAGATGAAAGGTGAAGAGGGTATCAAATGATTTAGAAAAAGAAAAATTGGATATCACATTGGAGGGAGGGAGTGTGGAAAAGGTAAATGTTTTCAGATATTTGGGAGCTGACTTGTCAGTGGATGAGTTTAGGAAGGATGAGGTTAACCATAGAATTGATGAAGGAAAAAAGGTGAGTGGTGCATTGAGGTATCTGTGGAGACAAAAATGTTATCTATGGAGGCAAAGAAGAGAATGTATGAGAGTATGGTGCTATCAACACTCTTATATGGGTGTGAAAACATCGGTTGTAAATGCTGCAGCGAGGAAGATAGTTGGAGGCAGTGAAGATGTCGTGTCTAAGGAATATGCGTGGTGTAAATATTATGCAGAGAATTCGGAGTGTGGAAATTAGGTGGTGTGGAGTTACTAAAAGTATTAGTCAGAGGGCTGAAGAGGGATTGTTAAGGTCGTTTGGTCAATTAGAGACAATGGAACAAAGTACAATGACTTGGAGAGCATATAAATCTGTAGAGGAAAGGAAGGCGAGGTAGGAGGTTGTCCTCAAAAAAGGTTGGAAGGAGGGTGTTTAAAGGAGGTTTTCTGAGCTAGGGGCTTGGACTTACAGCAAGAGTGCATGAGCATGTTAGATAGGAGTGAATGGAGATGAATGGTTTTTGGGACCTGATGAGCTGTTGGAGTGTGAACAGGGTAATATTTTGTGAAGGGATTCAGGGAAACTGGTTAGCTGGACTTGAGTCCTGGAGATGGGAAGTACAATGCCTGCACTTTGAAGGAGGGGTTTGGGATACTGGCAGTTTGGAGGGACATCTAAACCATCATATCTGAATGCCTCTGCTAAGACAGTGTTAAAAAAAAATCTGTACATTTTTAATTTACAGTCACCACATATAATCTACACAGTTTGCAAAGAGCACTGCCATCCCCAGGATGAGTATGGGGTGACTACAATCCCCAGGATGAGTATGGGGTGACTACAATCCCCAGGATGAGTATGGGGTGACTACAATCCCCAGGATGAGTATGGGGTGACTACAATCCCAGGATGAGTATGGGGGATGAAAAGCCTCCAGAAAACTTTTACCTGTACATGATCTAGTCTACTTAAGAACATCATTGGACCTATAATGAATGTAAACCTTTTTTTTTTTTTAACACACCAGCCATATCCCACCAAGGCAGGGTGAACCAAACAAAAAAATGAAAGTTTTTCTTTTAAAATTAGTAATTTAAACAGGTGTTACTAGCCCCTTGCTCCTGGCATTTCAGTCGCCTCTTATAACACGCATGACTTAGGGAAGAAGAATTCTTTTCCACCTTCCCATGGAGAACTTGTCTTTTATAATTCATAAAAAATGCTAAACCCCTAGGTCATTCAGCACTACATGGCAGAGGTGAGTATTTATAAAAGAAGGTATTTTGTATGTTACAAACTTAAAACTCAAAACAGATAATCAAGTGAAAGGAGACATCGATGAAATGTCTTACCAGTTGCTCTTGTCCTTTTATCTAATTTATTGTTGCCAATTTTAGTAATACAGTGGACCCCCGCTTAACGATCACCTCCAAATGCGACCAATTATGTAAGTGTATTTATGTAAGTGCGTTTGTACGTGTATGTTTGGGGGTCTGAAATGGACTAATCTACTTCACAATATTCCTTATGGGAAAAAATTCGGTCAGTACTGGCACCTGAACATACTACTGGAATGAAAAAAGTTCGTTTAACCGGGGGTCACTGTATTTATAGTTCGAGGATATTAAGGTAACTAACGATGTAGTAAAATATTTATTACTAGAAGTCAACCCAAAAACTGCAATAGGATTAGATGAAATAGCAATGAGGGTTTTAAAAGAATATGCAGAAAATTTATAGGAATTCACTACAAGAGGGTAAATTGGCAGACAAATGGAAGATAGCACCCACTGTGTCAATATTTATAAAAAAGGCAACAGGAAAAAGCTTAACTAATACCTGTTTCACTGATGATAGTTGTAAAAATGATAGAAAAAGCCATTAGAGAAGTGAATAAAACACTTGGAGAGGACTAATCTTCTGACTAGAAAATAATTTGGCTTTTGATTAGAAATCTGTCAAAAAAAATTTTTACACACTGGCCATTTCCCACCCAGGAGAAAGTCAGTTACAGAAATTTTTTTAGTAGATTGCTATTTATTGGTTCAAGCTGGTAAAAACAAAAAGTTATCAGAATGATGAGTATACTCCTAATGGATAACTCAATTTATAAATTAAGTAAAACCACAGTCTAGGGCAAAAAAAAAAAAAAAAAAGATTGAGAAGGCAGGTACTGGTAATAAGTATTATAATAATAATCAAAACTAAGTGCTAAACCCACATGGATTATACAACGCTGTGCTGATAAGTAGAGCACAAAGATACTTTACTCTCTGTGAACAGCTTTACATAGAACAAAATTTTATCTAAAATAAAGTTATACTCTGCACCACCTGGAATGAACATCAACTCCAGACTGAGGGACTGATTATCTCAAAACACCTCATTTTCCCCTTTCTCTGCACTGGACTGAAGAAGCCACTGGCTGGCAAAATGTCTCCAGAATAAAGATACCCACATGTTGCACAAGTGTCTCATTCAAATATTTCCTAATTTTTTTTGACAAATTCTGATAAAAAAATCTAAGAATCAGGAAAATTTCCCAAAATACTGAAGAACTTTAGGAGCAATGCAAGACTGTCTTACCTTATTATGTACATGAACAAGTGCTTGTAATTCTCGAGATTTGAGCAGATCCGCAAGGAAGCCAAAGTCATCTTCATCACTGTCCAGCTGCACCCTGGCCTTCTCCAGGGAGGACAGCAGACCACCCAGAGCTGAAACACCATACCACTAGTTTACTTCTAGTATATACACCATGACAGCACAAGTATAATTTGCACAAGGCATTCCTGCCATAAAATGGAAAGAAGTCATTTCTGCGAGCAAACAAATTTGAAACACAAATTACAGCCAAATTCCTAAGTTATTCAAACAGATTTAGTAATGCAATACAAGGGGTCTTCAACTTACAAATACCCTCAAATCCCATACATCCACACTTACAAATGGGACACGTCAGAGCCAGTTAAAGCTTGCAGCCGTCAAGCCACACTACAAACATACATGTAACAACAATCCTTTATATTACTGTTAATATTGTTATAAATCATTTCTAAGTTGAAACACCAGGATTGTAGCTCCCTTGTAAATTGGGAAACCTCCTGTACTGTAGCATATCTAAATAACTGTGGAATATCTAGAAAGATGGGGAGAAATGGTGCAGTTCTGAGGGTGAGTTGAGCTCTCATATCCATGCACCTATGGAAAGACAGTGACTGAATGAATGATGGCAAATGTGTTTTCTTCTTTGGGTCACCTGTTTTGATAGGAAACATCCCATATTGTAAAATAAAGCAAATTTCAACAAAAAACGATGAAAGAATATTCAAGCAATAGACAAACCAGAGTATGTATCTAAATTATTTTTCACTTTACAAAATATCAAGGGATACTAAAGCCTTGGGTAGAATAAGCAGAAAGTAAATCCTTAAAGACAAATGTTACAATATAATAACTCCAATATTATAATGGTATATATCAACATTTTCCAAACAGGTTCTGTAGAACCCGATGTCTGCGGATTCGGTTTACACGGTTTCAGTTATCCACAGTTTACCATGGCCAGAAAATAACTCTTAATTTTGCTTATTAATGGCCCCAAAGCACAAAAGTAGCGATGTTGGCAGTTCTTCAAAATCTATGAGAAGCCGTGAAGTGCTTCCCATCAGTGAAAAAAGTGCTAATTCTCAACTTAATGTGTGTAATTTATCAATTAAACTTTATCACAGGTATGTATGTAAACAAAAAATGGCTTATATGTAGGGTTCACTACTATCCACGGTTTCAGGCATCTGCGGTAGGTCTTGGAACGTAACCCCCACGGATACAAAGGAGAACTATTCTACACGAGTATTACAAGAAGGGGGTTAACAAATTGTATGTGGTGCATGGTTTAGAAAACCGACAAGTTGAAGAATTGAGACACTTATGCAACACATGGGAATCTTTATTGAAGAAACGTTTCGCCACACAGTGGCTTCATCAGTCCAATACAAAGTAGAAATGGGAAAGGAGAGGAGAAGTTGAGGTAATCAGTCCCTCAACCTGGAATCGATGTGTTCAGTCCATCACTCTTGTAGGAAATGCAGCATAGGGCCAGAGAGGTGGCTTAAATACTGTAGTGAGATGAGATGAAGCAGGAGGAGGCGGGATCTCACTGCAGTATATAAGCCACCTCTCTGGCCCTATGCTGCATTTCCTACAAGAGTGATGGACTGAACACATCGATTCCAGGTTGAAGGACTGATTACCTCAAACTTCTCCTCTCCTTACCCATTTCTACTTTGTATTGGACTGATGAAGCCACTGTGAGGCGAAACGTTTCTTCAATAAAGATTCCCATGTGTTGCATAAATGTCTCAATTCTTCAACAAATTGTATGTTAATTAATTTGTTTATTCCCAACATGGAAAAAGTCTATATTATATATAATTAAACCAGTCCAGTGTAGATGCTCTTATAACAGTGATAACATTACTACATGATCACAAAAGAGGGAAAAATGCATGCAATGTAAGAAAAAACTGATATTGATAAAGAAAGATGGGCTTGGCCAATCATGTATGGATGCAGAACTAGGCATATGGGAAAATTAGCTCAGTATTCAGAGATCTTGTGTGATATCCTTGCACATAAGTGTGGCCTTCATATTCATGTATTTGTAACTAAAGAGTATTTATGAAATGAGAATCTTTCTACATCATAATACTGTAATAACAAATTAAGTACTAGGGATACCAGCTAGGACTCAGCATTCTTTATACAACCTAAACTGTTAACAAAACACAGTATTATAGTACTATATGCTTTTATTGACACAATCACAAGAGCTTTCATCACCAACAATGACAAAAATAAAAAAAAAAGGAAACAAAAGTGAAGCTAAATGTTTCTTAACACGAGCTACTGGATTCAAAACACTGGGTAAAGGTTAAAGGTAGTTAAAAGGCCAGTTCAAAACTGAGGTCCATCTGGCAAATATATTGAGAGTTTCACAAGAATAGACTCTTCTGTTGAAGGGGATAAACCCTCAAACACTGTAAATCAATTATAATTATTTACACTGTGTAATGCAAAATATAAGAATAAAAACATTTTCAATGTATTATTAATAGCCAGATAATCAATATGATAGACAAATTACAATTATAATTATTATTACAAAAATTCTCAATTTAATCACCTCTCTAACAAATTTTGGAAAAAAAGGATAAACTCTGCTGGGAAATTAAATCAGAAACAAGGTCAGTTGGTTACAGAATTGTCCATAATTATTATGATCACAGCAAATATATCTCATGTCTAACAACCATAATCTCCATTACCAACCATCCACTCTCTTCTATTAGCCCATTAAATGAGGGTTTACCTATTATTGTTATTATAATCATATGCAGTATGTAGTATGTTTGACTATACAGCCTCTCCTCACTTAACGACGGAGATGGGGACCTAAGACCTCGCCAGTGAACGCATTTGTCACTAAACGAGGAGCATACTATAATGGTAGTGGATTTGTGTCAACTATCTCTGATATTGTTTTAATGTCGCCTTCACACCATTTATAACATTTCTGGTATATTTTTAAACGTTTATACAGCAATGTACAGTGGACCCTCGGACTAACGCTATTAATCCGTTCCTGAGAGCTCATCGTTAGTCAAAATAATCGTTAGTCAAGTTAATTTTCCCCATAAGAAATAATGGAAATCAAATTAATTCGTGCAAGACACCCAAAAGTATTGAAAAAAAAAAATTTAACACATAAAATATTAATTTTAATACACACAAATGAAGAAGACATGCACAGTTACATGACACTTACCTTTATTGAAGATCTGGTGATGATTGATGGGATGGGAAGAGGAGAGTGTGTTGATGGTCTTAGTGTTTAGAAGGGGAATCCCTTCCATTAGGACTTGAGGTGGCAAGACCTTTTTCGGGGTTACTTCCCTTCTTTTAATGCCACTAGGACCAGCTTGAGAGTCACTGGACTTCTGTCGCACAACATATCTGCCCATAGAGGCCTGTACCTCCCGTTCCTTTATGACATTCCTAACGTGTTTCACAACATTGTCAGTGTCACCATTAAAACACTTTTCAGGTTTCAGTCCTTCACTGTCTATGTACTCCTTGAATTCCTGCACATATTTTTCAGCTGCTTTTTGGTCCAAACTGCAGCCTCACCATGCCTTATGTATGCCACTACGATTCTTAAATCTCTCAAACCAACCTTTTCCCGACCTTAAATTTTACTCACATCACCACTAGTTGCTGCATTTTTCTAATTAAATCGTCAGCAACTTTCCAGCCCTTTTTACTATGATCGCTTGAGAGATGCTTCTCCCGTATTGTTTTTGTTTATCCATC